GGGGCTGTCGACGCCCGGCACTCCGCGGCAGGGCAGCATGGTGAGGCGGCCGTCGCGCCGCCGCTCCCAGCCAGCGGCCCAGCAGCCGCCGCTGCCGCGCTACGGCTGGGCCGAGGAGGAGAACGGAGCCCGGAGAGGCTATGGCAAGGAGGATGGAGGCTATGGCTCTCGTCGTGGCTATGCCAGGAAGGAGGATGGAGCCTATGGGCCCTATGGGCGCAGTCACCCCAAGGAGGAAGATGGAGAGTACGGCCCTCGCCGCGGCTACGCCGAGGAGGATGGAGGGTACGGCCCGTGGCACGGCTACAGCGGGGAAGAGGAGGGAGCCTATGGCCCCCGGCACAACTACTCCGAGGAGGAGGAGGAAGGCTACATGCAGAGCCCAGCCTACCCAGCAGGGTATGGCTTCGAGGATGCCGTGCCGACCCCCTACTCTGACTACCCTGGCTATGAGACAGAGGAGGAGTACGACTCCTACGGGGGATTTTGGGAGGACGGTGAGCAGCCAGGGCACCCCTACGGCTACTCAGAGCTCGAGGATGAGGGAGTGTATGGTGGTGGGTCTCCCCTCAGCCTCTATGACCCATACAGCAGCGACCCGGAGTACGGTGAGGAGGCAGAGGGGCCCTTCGGCTACAGGAGGGACCCCTACGAGGATTTTGGGGAGTCTTTTGCCAGGGGGTACCCTGGGGGCGACTACCCCGAGCATCGCATCCAGTACAGCGAGGGCGGCTGGGCGCCGCATGCCCAATCCTCCTGCAACCCCTACGCCCTGGGCCTGGAGGAGATCGCTGAGGGCGAGGAGCCCGAGGAGTGGGAAGAAGAGGAGGAAGAAGAGAAGGAGTATCCCTTTTCCATCCTGAGCACCTCCTCGCTCCGGGGCATGCGGGAGACGCTCTCCTCCAAGCTCTCCCTCAACAGGAAATTCAGGCTCTTCCCCCGACCCCAGGTCAAGCTTTTCGGCAGGGACCGCCTGGACGTTCCCCTCCCGCCGTCCCCGCACCTGCCCGCTGCCCGAGACGAGGACGACTACGACGAGTACGAGCCGCCGCCGCCTCCGGCAGCCCCCGGCCCCGCGGCATCCCCGACACGCCGGCTTTCGGCGGCGCGGGTGTGCGGGAGCCCTCTGGGCCAGTTCCTCCAGCGATCCCTCTCCATTCCTCCCAGCCGCCCGCTGAGAGGTGCCTGGG